ACAAAGAAGACGAACAGTTGTATGTTGCCTTTGTTCGTCCTACCCATGTGCCATCTACTTTGCGGTTAATACCACTGCTACTTCGGCTAGTGATCCTACTTCTAGTACTTCTACTTCTAGCACCTCTACTTCTCTACCTTCTACTAGTCCAAATGATCCTACTTCAGATTCGGTCGCCTCTGTTCACAACCTGCGACCTAGTCTAGGTGATCCCTTTGCTGATCCTCCACCTCCACTGGTTCCACCAAACATCCAAAACCTACTCGATCGGTTCCCGGAAGTTCTGGCCGAGCCACGTGAAGTCCCCACGCGATCCGACACACCATCGAGTTGGCCAAGGGTGTTGTTCCTCCAAAGGGTTGCGTATACCGAATGGGCCCCGACGAGTTGGAGGAATTCTGGCGACAGATTGACGAAATGATTGACAAAGGGTGGATCAAGCCTAGTGAGCTTGAATTTGGTGCTCCTGTTTTGTTTGTTCCAAAGAAAGGAAGCAAGCTCCGCATGTGTATTGACTATCGCGGTCTAAACCGCATCACAAGAAAGAATGCCTATCCATTGCCCCGCATAGATGACTTGCTTGATGTCGCAGGTGGGTGCGAGGTCTTTTCCAAGATCGATCTCAAGTCTGGCTACCACGAGATTGAAGTCGATCCTGCGGACCAGCACAAGATTGCGTTCAAAACACGCGATGGGCTTTACGAGTTTACCGTAATGCCCTTCGGTCTCACGAACGCACTGACCACCTTCCAAAGCCTCATGGACAAGGTCCTCCGCGAACAGATTGACCGGTTCGTGGTGGTATACCTCGATGATATATTAATTTTCATCAAATCCATGGAGAAACACCTCAAGCACCTCGAGGAAGTGCTCACTATCCTCAAGAGGATCCAACTCCATCTCAACCTAGAGAAATCTGAGTTTGGGAAGGATAGTGTCATCTATCTTGGGCATCGGTTGTCTGCTACAAGCCTAGAGCCTGAGGCAACCAAGGTTGAAGTCATACGCAATTGGCCTCAGCCAGCGAACATCCGCGAACTGCACTCTTTCCTTGGTCTCGCGTCATACTATCGGAAGTTTGTGCCCCGCTTCTCTATTGTTGCTCGTCCATTGTCCCGGTTGACAAGCAAAAATGTTCCTTATTCTTGGGACACCGCGTGCACGAACGCCTTTCAAACTTTGAAATAAGCCTTGGTAAGTTATCCAATACTCCACATTGTGGATCCCAAACTGACATTCGTAGTTACCACAGATGCATGTCAGTATGGAATCGTCGCAGTGCTGCAACAAGATGACGACGATGGCTTGCGGCCGCTCGAATTCTATAGCAAACGCATGCCCAACATAAAGGTACCCACTTACCTACATGCGCGAGCTCTATGCTCTGCGTATGGCTTTGGATCATTGGAAGCACTATCTTTTGGGATGCTACTTCAAAGTGTTCTCAGATCATGAGACTTTGAAGTGGATCAAGGAGCAAACTACTCTGTCCCGTACGTTAATTCGCTGGTTCTATGAAATTGACATCTTTGACTTTGAGTTGAGACACAAAAGGGCTGTTATAATCAAGTCGTTGACGCATTGTCTCGGCACCCTGAGTACATGACTTGCCTTGTGAAATCCTACGACCTCCGGGAAAAAATGAAGGAGGAGCTCGTAGAGCATACAGGCAATGATCCGAAACTTAGTCCCATCCTTGAGCGGCTGCGGGCTGCTCCTAGTAGTCAGCCTGATTTTCACGAATATGGAGGACTGATTTTTCGTCGTTACGGGAACCACACCCGCTTGTGTGTGCCCAACCATGAGCCTCTCCGCATGCATCTTCTGGATTTGGCCCATGGCCGGAGCGGACACTTCGGCATGGCAAAGGCGTACGCAAATCTGCTGAGACAGTTTGATTGGCCTAGCATGAAAGGGATTGCTGAAAAGTTTGTGGCTGAATGTCAAGTTTGTCAACGAATCAAACCATGCAAACAAAAGCCCATGGGGCTACTCACACCCCTTCCCATTCCAGAACGTCCCGGGGAGTCCGTCTCCATCGACTTCACCGACTTGGGAAAGGTAGGTAAGAACGGCTACTCACTCACTCACACACGACGCGGACGGAAAGGAGGAGCGCCTGCTTACATGGAGCGGGAGGAGGATTGGAGGCGATATCGAGTGCGTTGATTTCGGTTTTTTGTATACATCTTTGTCATCGGCGGCACTCTCGCTGATCACCACCAGCACCAACATCGACGTCATTATCATTAGGGTGCTGCTCGTCACCATCATCAGCAACAAGGCGTGATTTGATATCATCATCACGGTAATGTTTTGTCATCATCATTAGGTCGCTGCTCGTCATCACCATCATCAGCATCAGGGTACTGCTCGTCATCATCATCAAGGCATATGTCTTCACTCCTGTTCGGCGCTAATATCATTACTACTATCAAGGAGCCGTGCATCAGGGGAGCGGCTCGTCACTCACTGTTGTATCACCATCGTCAAATTTCTCTCCATCATACGACATGGGTGGCAAAACTTGACGTCATCATAGGGCTTTGCTCATCATAATCATCATCATCATCATCATCTTTAGGTTATTATCCAAGGAGTTCGTCATCAAACCATCATCATCGTAGTTATCGTTAGGCGCTATACGTCATCATCCTTATCATCATCATCATCATCATCATCATCATCATCATCATCATCATCATCATTATCATTACTGACATCACCATCATCATCTTCATCATCTTCATCATCATCATCATCATTATCAACATCACCATCATCATCGCTATCATCATTACTATCATCATCATCATCATCATCATCATCAGTTTGTAATCATAGGGGCTGTTGGTGCTGCTCTTTGGTAAGATCAGCATCATCTTTCCGTTTATCATCATCGTCATCATCATCATCATTATCATCAGCTTGTTCTCAATTAGATGTTGCTCTGCATCAGCAGGTGAGTTGGTTGTCACCATCATTCTCTTTATTATCGTCAGGGTGCTGTCCAGCGTCACCAATAAAATCCAACAAAATCCAAGCAAATGATATTTTGGTAAGTGTGTCATCAATAATTGTAGTCGGCTGGATCGGATTGTTCCCGGAGGGCTGAACGGTGGGGAGGGGGTGGGGGGAGCTCTATCCTGCAGGGGCATTGCAAGGTGGGGAGTGAATGTCTCAAAGAGGGTAGGGGCGGAGTGGGGGGTTGCCTTATTCTGGGGCAGGGACTATGGGAGGGTCCATCAGTCCCTGCGGAAGCGGAAATGGGCAAGGGGTGGGGGGGTGAAATTCAAGGACTGCCATAATTCTACAGGCTCCTGTGTCGCAAGACAGGCAGTGGGTTCTAGTCCTGGTTGGCTCGATTGAGTGCGTCGGCACTCACTATAATGGCGCGCTTGGAATCCGTGATGCTGGATTCCAGCTCATTCACATTCCTGGCCGGGTACTCCACGGGGGAACGGTCGCAAGGCTGTGTCGATGTTGTACGAGGGGTCCCGCCCGTTGAGCATCCTGCTGGCTGTGCTCATGACATACACAGTTTGGGGGGGGAGGGGCACCACTGAGCGACTGGGTACCATTGGGAGTCTCCCAGCTTGGAATGCCCCCGCTCTTCCCTGGGTGTGGCATGGGAGTGTGATTAAAGCACTGGCCATAAGGGTAGGGCCTGGCTATAACCTCAGCCTGCATAACCTTGGAGGCAGAGTTCCAAGACAGAGAGGTCACAGAGCCCAGCGAGGTCGTGATGGCCAGAAGGATTGCCACATCAGTCGAAGAGGATACGAGAGGATGTTTAGACGAACTCGTGCCCGGAAGTAGGAGTGGAAGAAAGGATGCCCTCTTGTCATTCTTTATGTGGATAACCAGAGCTGACAGGTCCACAAGAAGGAACCTGAGAGGAATACATGAGAAGGGCAAGCGGATAGTCAATCCTTCTGTAACATGGAGCAATTAGTGCTGGCAAGGGATCCGTCGGCCAAACCGAAGTATGTGTGAGTGTGTAAATGATGTATCTTACTATCTTGACTTGCCGGAGGAATAGGAACTGGAATGACGCTCCCCAGAATGGAAAGGAGCCAGGGCCATAAGGACCTGTTTAAAAAAAGGAGTCAAGCTTATGCTCTGTTTATTCAACTTTATTGAACACACCAGTTGTTCCGAGCCTTGTTTTCCCAAAGCTGATTTTTGTCTGGCCCTCAGAAATCAGAATGTTGACTTGCATGGTGCTGCCAGCCTCCCGTGACGGGCAGTCCGGCCCTTTCTGCGGCAGGGTGTTAATGGGCAGGCGTTTTTTTTCCCCAGAGGCTTAGCCCGATAACTTGTGGTTTAACAATAGAATAATATGGGTGCCAGAGTAGTCATTGCTGACGGTAGGCACCCCTCTATTGGCAGGCGGCTACCAGCCGACCGATCCTACCAGTTGGCTGTCGGTAGGCACCCCACAAAAAAAGAAAAAGAAATAAAAAGGAAAGAAAGCGAGACCATCATAATCCCTGGATATTTCCCCCTCCCCCTTATACCCCCCCTCCCGCTTCTGAAGTTTTGCAGTGGATTCTGTACTCAGCAAGCGCAGTACGGTCCCAAACTTGATTAAAAAGTTATAAAAACAAATCAGTGGATGACACTCTTGCTACCAGTCGGCCCACCGGTAGGCTGCAGATCGGTCGGCCGTCGTCTGCAAAACAATTATGAAGGGTGCAGCATTCAGCCGCATGAGCTAAACCCTGAACCAGTTTTTGGATGTCTGGGAGGCATTGTTTTGAAGCGCTGGAGGCCCTTTTCTTTGTCTTCTTATGAGGCGGCCTTGTTTTCCAGCTTTGCTGTTATATATTTTCAAGCTGAAGTCGGGTAGTGGCCCCGGTACCATCATTATACTTCATTTTGATAACAAAGCCTTGGGCACTAGGCCCATTTCTTTTGAGAAAATAAAAAAGACTAACAAGAATAGCGAACAGCGAAATGGTCTCAGGTGATTGGACCTGTCCGTTTTGCAGGAGACGGCGTTACATTTTGTGTTGGAACACACAACTGTATCCATACAACCCATGTGCAGCACATGGTGCACAGGAGGGAGATGGCGCGCAAGAACATGAGGTGGGTCCCATCTCCTTCTGTTTTCTTGGGAAATAAAGAATCCTCATGCTGGCTGTTAGAGTCCATCTGTCTGTCTTCTATCTCCACCTCGATCTCATGTCCCTGCCTGTTTCCTGTACGTGGATGCTCGTCTGCTGTGGCTGAAACGTTCAAGTTCCCGCAAGCAGAAAAGGCGCATGATTGGTTCCTGCCTTGGCTGGGAGATAGACCAGCCTTCCCCTGTTTTTTTTTTTTTTCACATCATATCTATGAATCTATGCCATGTCTTAGATGTGGTGGTGCAATGCTGCTGGAGTGCCTGCCCCCCCTCTTGCTCGAACATCTGGCTTGGTGTACTGGAATATTTAGCTTGCCACGCTGCAATTGTTGGCTTGGCTTGGCTTGCTCTGCTTGCTAGAACTCCTGGCTTATGCTTGCTGTTGCACCTTACTTGGCTTGCTAGAATATCCTGATCCTCCTGCTGGAATGTCTGGCTTGGCTTAGTGGAATGTCCGCCTCTTTTTCTTTCTTTTTTTTTTTTTTTTAAGAAACTGGCCTTAGCATACTAGAGCGAGTGGTATGAGCGGCTCTCCCTAGTAGGCCTACCACTGCGGCTCCAATCTATTGGTGGGGAGCAGCACCTGCTGGAAATCGGGTCCAGCGTCCCTGAAATGACAAGATTGATGAAATTGTGTCCCAGAACTGGGCTGTTACGCGGATTCGGCTTTTGTGGATAGGCATCCGAGCAACCACTCAGCTGTGAATGAACAGACCCTTCTGCAAACCCTTTCCCCACTGCTAGCCACATTCCACCTCTTCAGCCGCCTGCTTCCACGCAGTTGCCAGCTAAAACCAAGCATTCCTAGCAGACTATGGGCCTGACAGAACCCTGTGGGACCAGCAAACTTCAGAGTCGGCGCAGCACTTAAAAACAATAACGAAGGCCAACTCAGTCGCTCAGAAGCCAACGAAAGAGAGGGGGGGAGGGGGAAGATCTGGGAAGTCAGAGAGGGGGGCCAGGGGTCAGGAAGCATCAATCGTAGTCCAGTCCTGGAAGGCAAGTTTGTAGTCTCGGACCAGCTCTGCCTGGTCCGTCCTGCATCCCCCCGACCATTCCACACTAGCTATCCAGCCACCTTGTGGCCCCCGTAGCCAGTCCTTGCTGCACTTTTGAATAGTTGTTCGGATTTCTGTGTGAGAATGAAGGAAAGATGGTTTGTCGTTTAGCAAGTCCCATTGGAGTGTTAGGTCAGCTTGAATTTGTTGTTTGATTGAGTCAGTGGATTCTGCCCTATCCAGGCCCAATTTTTCCGATTCAAAAGTGCAGCGGTGCCACCAGAGTGCCCAAATGATGACCCGACGCCCAATCTTCACATATTCTTCTCAAAGGTCTGTGGCATGGAGAATTCCGTGCTGCTCTAATGTGGTTATACTGTGAGGCAGTGTGAGAAGTAATCCTCAAGCTACATTGATATTCCATATTCAAGTCTAACGCTGTGGGCTATTTGGAAGGCAAGACATAGTATCTCACTCAATGGAACAAGAAATCTGAGGGAGGTGTGGGCATCCACTGAAGAAACAATAGGAGCAGAAATCAGATGCAAATGGCGACAACGGAAGTCCTTATTTGAGAGAAGACCTGAGGTGGAACAGGTGGTCAAGGCCACATTCCAGCGAAATCTGCTAAGCTAATGACAGCGCGTCAACGGTTAATGGGCATCATCTCAGGTGGAGGGACTGGCATAACTCTGAACCTCAACATAAACTGTTCAATTACTTAGCCATGGAAGGGACAGAATGCGATTTGGGCCTGAACAAAAAGCCAGCAGGGAGAAGACAGTGAGCTCCAAGTGCAGTATCTGCAGTCATCACAGAGATTCAGTGGCTTCAGGAAAAACTGGCAGTCTACACTTCATGTAGAAAGAGTTATTTAAGGAGGGTCAAGACTAGACTGACAGTCAATCCTCTTGCAAAGGAGTAATCGATGCTGTTCAGGGGTTCCTTTGTCCTAAACGGAAGGGCGTGTTTGTTATGCTGGTTGTATATTTTATGGCCTGCTGGTGGAAAAGGAAACGTACTGACGCTTCCTGAAATAGAAAAGTGCCAGGACCATAACTCCCTGTTAAGGAAAAGGGGATCGGAGTTTTGGGGGTGTGTAAACTGCCTTACAAGTGCCTCTCAATTTCCCCTTTCAGACAATGTACCAGTGCACCGCTTTCCACTTTCCGAGTGCCAATGCTGCACATTTTTCTTGTTGATGAATCTCAAGGGGTTGGAGATGATCAGATCTGACATGGCATCCTGTGCCGCCTTCTTGGTGTCTGTTCCTTGTTTACTTTTTTTTTTCGACTGATGTGTCCCTGGCAGCCTTAATGAGTTGGCAAAGAGATTTGCACGCAGGCGGATCTGAAACTGCATTGTTAATTTGTGTTCCTTTTCTCACTTCATGGATGCCGGTGTTTTCTTCCTTCTATTCTGTCAATACATTTTGTTTAACTCAATTCTCTGCAGCATCAGATCAACAACAAGTACTGAAAAGTGATCTGAAATGGCATTGCTCCTTTGTTGTCTTTTTTCTCACTTTATGAATCCCTGCATTTTCTGCCCTGGACTGTGTGAATGCATTTTGTGTGACCTCCTGCTTCATTGGCTTGTGTCGGCATGATATGGGATTGCTCCTTATGACCTTCGGATGTTGATAAGTTCCTCTCACGAGTTTCCAACCAATCGGAGCCGCATTTTACAATATTATGACTTTGCCGAACCAGCTCAGATACGCATTGCCACGGTAAGAGATCTGCATGCACACATGCATGCGCTCGTACGTACATGCGGACTACATGTGTATGGAACATATTGATCACACAATGTACAGACTACGTACCACACATGATGAACATGAAAAATGTTACAACAAAGATGCACATGGCCATATTTCGTGTGTAGGGCATTTTGCTGAGTGGGCCATTTGCTGGGGACCCCTATGAATCTTGGTCCGTACAACACATGGCGTGGAAAAAAAAAGTGTGCACGGAATCCGTCTATACTTGACGTACTATGTGAGTAAAACAGACCTGCATGCAATATATGAATTCCTACACGAGCTCACACGTACACACATATATGCGTATCACAATGGATGTCTTATGATGAAGTCAGTTTTCTTCATGCCATGTGCGCTGAGATTAGACTTCCATAGCTGTCCTTCTGTGGATAATCATAGGAGAATCGAGAGGAGAAGTTAGGTCTTAACTGCAGCCACGTACGACGGGACATCCATTAAAATTGGAATGATACAGGGAACATTAGCATGGCCACGGCACGAACATGACACACACAAATCGGGAAATAGTCCGACTCCTGTCCATGATTTTAAGAGGGGATAAGGAAAAAGGGACTGCAGACAGGTCTTTGGTGAAGCAGCTCAGAGAGAAAAACATTCTTCTGCAGATTGGTTTGGCCTGGCTGTCAAAGAACTGCTTTATCAACGCACACTACTGATTTTTATGCGTACTTGCGGTGCATCTCATGCGCATGTGGTTGCCGCACATGAGTTGCGGCCCACCCCAAAAATCGGGGGTTGTAATGACCCGCCATAACACAGACTGAGAACACTGCTTATTTCTGAAGTTCTGCCGATGGAATGGATGCCTTGCTGAAATTCCTGCATTCTGCTGAGTTTTCTAAGTCTGTGTGTGTGCGTGCTTGTTGACCTGCGTGCCTGTCTGAGTGCTTGTTGGCATGAGTGTGTGTGTGACCCGCAAGGGTACTTGCTTGTTTGGCAGGCCCGTAGGGCCGGTGCTTACCTGTGGCCGTGGCATTGAGGGTTGCAGTAGGGGAAAAAGCTCAAGGGGCGGAGCCAGAGGCCCGTGGCACTTGGAGCAGTGGAAAAACACTCAAGTAGCAGGTAGGCCGGTACCGCACCCAGTAGCAGGAGATGTGCTGGTTACTCGAGGCCGAGCAGAAGAAGACAAAGTTGGCAT